TGTTCCTTTTATTGTATAAACTTCTACCATGTCATTTTGCAACATACTATACTATGAAATTTTTCCTGAAATAAAGTTTTTTATCATACTATACTATGACTTTTTGTCACACTGAAATATGACATTGTTAATATAACATACTATGATGTATTTCTACGACTGTGCTATGGCCTTTCTCTTTTAATGTTGTTCTTGCGATTACTGTCTGTGACTGGGATTTGAACCACTGACCTTCTGGATGTGGGGCAACAGCCCTAACCACTACACCACAGTACCTGTCACACCGTTGTCCCTTTTATTGTATAAACGTCTTCTATGACATTTTGCAACATACTATACTATGAAATTTTTCCTGAAATAAAGTTTTTTATCAGACTATACTATGACTTTTTGTCACACTGAAATATGACATTGTTAATATAATATACTATGGCATGTTTGTACAAGCTTAACTGTGACATTTCTCTTAAAATGTAATGTATGCAAACACTTCTCTGACTGGGATTCAAACCCGTGACCTTCTGGATATAGGGCAACAGCACTAACCACTACACCACAGCCTGTCACATTTGTTGTTCCTTTTATTGTATCAACTTCTACCATGAGATTTTGCAACATACTAATCAATAATGCTTTTTCTGTGGTATTTTGATCAGACAATACTATGGCATGTTTTTCAACCCAAAATCTGAAAATAATTTTCAAACTTAAATCTGACATTTTCATCAAAGTATACTATGTTGTCTTTTTTTTTGTCTTAAATATGATTTCCCCCCCCCCCCCCCCACTGAAATATGACATTTTTAACATCCTATACTATGGCATTTTTATCAGACAATACTATGGCATGTTATTTTATCTGAAAAATGGAATTTTTTTTTTCACCCTAAAATCGGAATTTTTTGTCATAGTATACTATGTCGGTTTTTTCCGGTCTAAAATATAATTTTTTTTTTTACCTGCTGAAATATGACATTTTTAACATCCTATACTATAGCATTTTGATCAGACCCAAAAATATGAAATTTTCGTCATAGTATACTATGTCTTTTTTTATTTCGGACTAAAATATGATCTTTTTTTTGGCACCAAAACAAGCAATTTTTAACATCCTATACTATGACATTTTGATCAGACAATACTATGGCACATTTTTCACCTAAATGACGGAATTTTTTTTTCACCCTAAAATTAGAAATTTTTGTCATAGTATACTATGTCGTTTTTTTCCGGTCTAAAATATTAATTTTTTTTTTTACCTGCTGAAATATGACATTTTTAACATCCTATATTATGGCATTTTGATCAGACAATACTATGGCACATTTTTCACCTAAAAAACAGAATTTTTTTTTCACCCAAAAATATGAAATTTTCGTCATAGTATACTATGTCTTTTTTTATTTTGGACTAAAATATGATCATTTTTTTTGGCACCAAAACAAGCAATTTTTAACATCCTATACTATGACATTTTGATCAGACAATACTATGGCACATTTTTCACCTAAATGACAGAATTTTTTTTTCACCCTAAAATTGGAAATTTTTGTCATAGTATACTATGTCGTTTTTTTCCGGTCTAAAATATTAATTTTTTTTTTACCTGCTGAAATATGACATTTTTAACATCCTATATTATGGCATTTTGATCAGACAATACTATGGCACATTTTTCACCTAAAAAACTGAATTTTTTTTTCACCCTAAAATTGGAAATTTTTGTCATGGTATACTATGTCATTTTTTTCCGGTCTAAAATATTGTTTTTTTTTTTACCTGCTGAAATATGACATTTTTAACATCCTATACTATGGCATTTTGATCAGACAATACTATGGCATGTTATTTCACCTAAAAAACTGAATTTTTTTTTTCACAACCTGAAATCTGAAATTTTCGTCATAGTATACTATGTCTTTTTTTATTTTGGACTAAAATATGATCATTTTTTTTGGCACCAAAACAAGCAATTTTTAACATCCTATACTTTGGCATTTTGATCAGACAATACTATGGCACATTTTTCACCTAAATGACGGAATTTTATTTTCACCCTAAAATCGGAAATTTTTGTCATAGTATACTATGTCGTTTTTTTTCCGGTCTAAAATATGATTTTTTTTACCCACTGAAATATGACATTTTTAACATCCTATATTATGGCATTTTGATCAGACAATACTATGGTACATTTTTCACCTAAAAAAAATGATTTTTTTTTTCACCCTAAAATTGGAAATTTTTGTCATAGTATACTATGTCATTTTTTTCCAGTCTAAAATATATATTTTTTTTTTACCTGCTGCAATATGACATTTTTAACATCCTATACTATGGCATTTTGATCAGACAATACTATGGCATGTTATTTCACCTAAAAAACAGAATTTTTTTTTTCACCCAAAAATATGAAATTTTCGTCATAGTATACTATGTCTTTTTTTATTTCGGACTAAAATATGATCATTTTTTTGGGCACCAAAACAAGCAATTTTTAACATCCTATACTATGACATTTTGATCAGACAATACTATGGCACATTTTTCACCTAAATGACGGAATTTTTTTTTCACCCTAAAATTAGAAATTTTTGTCATAGTATACTATGTCGTTTTTTTCCGGTCTAAAATATTAATTTTTTTTTTACCTGCTGAAATATGACATTTTTAAAATCCTATATTATGGCACTTTGATCAGACAATACTATGGCATGTTATTTCACCTAAAAAACAGAATTTTTTTTTCACCCAAAAATATGAAATGTTCGTCATAGTATACTATGTCTTTTTTTATTTTGGACTAAAATATGATCATTTTTTTTGGCACCAAAACAAGCAATTTTTAACATCCTATACTATGACATTTTGATCAGACAATACTATGGCACATTTTTCACCTAAATGACGGAATTTTATTTTCACCCTAAAATCGGAAATTTTTGTCATAGTATACTATGTCGTTTTTTTTCCGGTCTAAAATATGATTTTGTTTACCCACTGAAATATGATATTTTTAACATCCTTTATTATGGCATTTTGATCAGACAATACTATGGCACATTTTTCACCTAAAAAACTGAATTTTTTTTTCACCCTAAAATTGGAAATTTTTGTCATAGTATACTATGTCATTTTTTTCCGGTCTAAAATATATATTTTTTTTTTACCTGCTGAAATATGACATTTTTCACATCCTATACTATGGCATTTTGATCAGACAATACTATGGCATGTTATTTCACCTAAAAAACAGATTTTTTTTTTTCACCCAAAAATATGAAATTTTCGTCATAGTATACTATGTCTTTTTTTATTTTGGACTAAAATATGATCATTTTTTTTGGCACCAAAACAAGCAATTTTTAACATCCTATACTATGACATTTTGATCAGACAATACTATGGCACATTTTTCACCTAAATGACGGAATTTTATTTTCACCCTAAAATCAGAAATTTTTGTCATAGTATACTATGTCGTTTTTTTCCGGACTAAAATATAATTTTTTTTACCCACTGAAATATGACATTTTTAACATCCTATACTATAGCATTTTGATCAGACAATACTATGGCACATTTTTCACCTAAAAAACTGAATTTTTTTTCACTCTAAAATCTGTAATTTTTGTCATAGTATACTGTGTCGTTTTTCTTCAGACTAATTTACTACTACTACTAATTACTACTACTACGACTAATTTACTACTACTACTTTTTTTACCCACTGAAATATGACATTTTTAACATCCTATATTATGGCATTTTGATCAGACAATACTATGGCACATTTTTCACCTAAAAAACTGAATTTTTTTTTCACCCTAAAATTGGAAATTTTTGTCATAGTATACTATGTCATTTTTTTCCGGTCTAAAATATAATTTTTTTTTTTACCAGCTGAAATATGACATTTTTAACATCCTATAGTATGGCATTTTGATCAGACAATACTATGGCATGTTATTTCACCTAAAAAACAGAATTTTTTTTTTCACAACCTGAAATCTGAAATTTTGGTCACAGTATACTGTTGTTTTTTTTCAGACTAAAATATGATTTTTTCCCCCCACTAAATTATGACATTTTTAACATTCTATTTTAGGGCCTTTTTTATCAGACAATACTAGCATGTTTTTTGGACCTTAAAATCTTTTTTTTTTTTTTTCGCCCTAGAATCTGAAATTTTGCTCATGGTATACTGTGACGTTATGTCATCATAGTATACAGTGATATTTTTATTATACTATACTACCATATTTTTTTTCCATCAAACTATACTTTGACACTTTCTCTCATAATATAATATGACATTTTTATCATACTGTACCATGATAATTTTACCGTAGTATACTATGATATTTTTATCATAGTATATTATCACATTGTTTCAAACTATACTATGTTATTTTTTTAATCATACTTTATTCTTATCATTCTATACTATGAGATTTTTGACATTTTTTATCATACCAGATTTGGCAGGAAATGCCAAACAGTCTCCTGTTTAACGATTATAATTCCACTTCTTCCACAGTTTCGCAAAGGTGTGTGGGAGTTTTCTTTCTCCCCGTCTGCAGAGGTTTAAAGAGAGCAGCTTCATGCATATGTAGAGGTATAAATTCAGCAGCTCACCATTTAAGGTAAAATTCAAAGCCTAATGGTCCCTTCTATGTAGATCTGCAACTCTGCAGGTTTCTCTGGTAATTGCTGCTAACATCTGAAGACTGTGTAGGTATAAAGCATCTGAGATAGAGCTCCTTTCCTGCAACAAAGGCGGAGAATGGATCCTATCATAGTGTCAAGGGATGAGGAGGAATATTAAAAATGCAGGATTAGCATTTTAACATCATTTTCAGGTGTAGCAGATAAATGGACACCGACTGCCGGAGATTAGTTGTTCTTTTTTAGATGTGAGAGCATCGGGCGCGCTGGGAGATAGAGGCATCTAAGACAACACAGTGACCCTTGGTGAAGCAACAGAAAAAACAGTGTACGATTTGACGGCATCATAAATCATCGGACTCATGGCAGGCAGCCCAATTGTGCTGCGAGGGCAGGTTGAAGCTACCATCATCCCTCCTCCCGTGTCCCCTGGCTGTGTCTGAAGAAAGAAGTGGAACGGCAAAAACATGTCTGCTCCCTCTGTCTCCTTCTCTATCAGCATTGATCTCTCAACGGGCAGGGCGGGGGGCGAGCGAGCGGCGAGAGTCACGTCGTCGTCGTCACAATTCTGTGCCTTTGCTGCGTTTTTTTTCATATCAAGTTGACAAAGTGCGGACAAAAACAGCACATGATCCTCGAGTGCACATGATTTAGCACGGTTGAGACGCACTGAAATGCACTCTGGGAGGAAGTCTGTCTCTGTGTGTCTTCCAGCACATGAAAGTACTGTATGAGTGTGAAAGAGGGAGAGGAAAATGCAGACAGACACAGTTTGCCAGAAAGAGAATCTCTAAGTCGGACTCGGTGTGTGGGTTTCGGAGGAGGGCCGGTGGAAATCATATTTATCCTGAGAGTGGAAGACTCCAGGCTTAGCGATCACAGCAAACATGGTCAGCTTGGGTTTCGGCTTTGGTTAAGATGACTCCAGGGAGTATGGACAGTGGGAGGAGGCCTTGGATGCTTCTCTGTCTCTCTCTCTCTTTTTTTTGCCTCGCTCCTCATCCTCCCCACCCACTCCTGCAGCTGTTGACGTGGGCCATCACGGGGAATTTGTCCAGTCTCATTCAGTCGGTGGAAAGGATTAGGCCTGAGCTCAACCACAGATGGACTGAGACTGCCCCCTATTAATAAATCCTCCTGTGATGCTGTATATTCATCTGGACATTTTCTCTCCCTGTTTTTTTTGAGTTGCAAGCAGCGAGTGGACACGAACACAGCGGCGTGCTAATCTGGCCGCTCTCAAAAGTAAGAGGGAGAGAGAAAAAGTGACATGACGAATTGAAAGAGGCTGGAAGAGGAGGAGGGGGTGGCGAGATGAGGGAGACTGGCCTTCTTCTTCTTCTTCTTCTTCTTCTTTTGCATAATTTGGTTCCTATTAGCGACATCATTCAGTGGGTTTTTTCAGATGATAATTTGGAAATCTGGGGTTGCGGCGCTAATCCAGCAGCATTACACTTTACCGAGGGATTACTGAGTGACAACTTCAAGTGAAACGAAAGATGTAAGGGCCTCTTAAGCCGTGTTCCTATTAAAAGCCACAGTGCGGCGTGACACTGTGGCAGGCTTCATTGCACACTTGCCAACTAGTTGGGGATATATATCCCCTGATAAACGCTCCAACGCTCATAGGGATTTCTTCGTCTTTTATTTATTTTATTTTTTACTTCCTTCCTCCCCCCGCTGCGTCCGGACGGTTTTAAATTTGCTTTTATTTTTTCTGAAGGCTACTGTTTGTTTGGAGCTTTGGGGAGTTTTTTTTAAGGGGGGGGGGGGGGGCTGTGCAGCTGACATTTTAAGAGAGAAGGGTGAAGGTCTCTTTGATGCTTTTCTATCTCAGCCTCTCTGATGCCGCTTTGCTATCTGAGGAAGCCTTGCAGTAATTTAAAGCTTTATCCAGGTGACTCCTGAAGGCCTTAAATCCTCTCAGGTGTTCACAGGAGTTGAAATACCTTCAGGTCAATTTTGGGTTTTTCATCGTCTTAACCAGCTGTCGATGTAATTGCAAAAATCGCAATCACCTTATCTAAGGTGAGAAAAGAGGCAGACAGGCAGTACATTTAATAGAGTAAACACTTATCTTACCCCTGCAATTACTCTGGACTCCACATATGAGGATTGCCGATATATTACCTGTACCCAACGTCAAATAATAATTAGCAAATATAATGAAATTAAAGTGAAAGTTTCTCGCTGGTTACAATATCAAAATCTTGATGTGTAAAGATGACTGCAAAGTTACGCCTCCTTTAAATAAAGTCACTCCAGCAGGAAACATTTAAAAGCGACAAACGTAACAATTTAAATCACATTACATAGCCTTGCTTGAACTAGCTAACCAACTATCGCTAATGACTTTAGTATGTAAGATAACATTATTTCGGGATATCAAAATGCTCGCAGTATCTTTTCTGCCAAAAGCGCATTGCATATTGTATTTATTTTGTTTTTCTTTTAAGCTGTTTGAATAAACAAATAAACTCAAACTCGAGCTTAGCTTACATAGCTTTTTAACAACAGTTCAAACCACAGACCGAGTAAATATTCATTCTACTTGACAAAATGTTGGTTTCTGGGTAAAACCAAGGATTCTTTCTCCTCTAAGAGAAATAGTTAAAACTGTTTAAAATTATACAGTCAGAGGAATTTTAAGCACTCATCGGTTGCTATCGTTAAGCTCTCATTTAACATGGCGAATACCGTATTTTTCGCACTATAAGGCGCACTTGAAATCCTTTTGGTTAATCGGAGCACTGCAGCCACCGTAGCCTCGCAGAGTTATTGACTGTTTTGTTTGGCTAAATGCGCTTTATAATCTGGTTACGTTTGAATAGACGCGTTCATTGATGGTGCGCCTTATAATATGGTACATGAATTCTGAGCTGTTATTCCAGGTTGCACTGGGCTATCTGATGTTTTTCTATAAGTTATTAAGAATTTAAATGCAAACTTCTCATTAAAACTCAACTTTAACAGGATCTAATGTAAAGTTTAGAAACTGTTCCTTTTTTTTTTCCTCTTGGAGTAAACAGCTCTTTCTTTTCCAGGTAAACTGTTTAAGATATCAGGTTGCATTCACTTGATAAATGGCCAGTTAAAGCAAAAAAACATTCAGTAACATCTCAGAAATATTTGTTCTGCTTTTTCCCGAGTAAACAAAGAGAAGCAGCCATTACCAGGAGGGGAAATATCCTTGTCCTCTGGCTCTGGTGAAATGAACCTGGCTCTTATGCTATATGCAGAGACCAAAGAGACACACAGGAGGGTTAAAGCGCGAGAAGAAACAGAATTAAAAAGATGTTGTTTTTCCACAGTGACCTGGATATGCAGCCAGTTCAAGACGCATCGCTTTCCTCTCCTGTCTGCTGACTGGATCCCAGGAGGGGGACAAAGTAACTGTTCAATCCCAGGTAATTAACTTCACCACGACCCAGGGAACACTCGCACCAGACACCACAATCCTTTAAGCACAACACTCCATTAGTCATATCCCACAAGGCCTTGCAAATGGCAGGACAAAAAAACAGGGGCATGCTGGGGGCTCATCCGGCCCATATAATCACCACCACACTGAGGAGAAATCTCGATTAGCTCGCACTCTAATGAGAGTGTGTGTATGGTAAGTCCGGATAATTCTGCTTTATCAGTCCACTTGGCAGGTTTTTCCCCCCCATGAGGTCAGTTTTCATAATGTGTACATATAGTGTAACACAGTAAGTTTAATCAGTGTAAAGCATCCAAACATAATGCAGATCTAGTGAGGGAGCAGAAGGGAGGCAGTGCTGAATCAGGTCCTGGGTGTAAAACGGACAGGTGCTGTTTGGACGCCGGTAACAGAAAAGCAGGAGTGTGGAAGCTCTCCAAGTGTGGGAGCAGTTTCACTTTAGATTCTTGCAAGGTTTCCAAAAACTTCTTCAGGAAATGAGTGAAATGTACACAGAGTTTTTATGACACATGGAACGATGATTCAGAGCCAGCACAGGTGTGTATGTGATTTGTCGTGCTCTGAAGAGGAAATAAATCACATATAATGTAAATATTAAAGCAGCTCCACTGATGACTCATATAAAATCTCGATATCATGTTTTACTTTTTGAGTCCATGATGGATTTTCATCTCAGAAGCAGAATTAAATGGTCTGCTTGCAGTGTCTGCAGATGTTTATTTTCTGTTCAACTTCATAAAGAATAAATACTTGATTAAAACTTGCTTAATGTCCACTCAGACGCTTTCACAACCATCATATTTAGGCAAATTAGAGGTTCAGTTCAATAAAAAATAATAGAAAACGTAACTCCGGGGATCCACTGGACTCGTGATCTTGTAAAAGGTGCTTGAACCTCTTGCAGTTGATCCAGGTTCGGCTCTTCTTTCCTGTGTGTCACCTCTGTCCACTGTCCTTTCCTCTCTTTATGAAAAAGCAATAAAAACCAAGAATAAACCCCTTAAAAAGTATTTAATTCCAACTAATGTGGGACTACGTCTTTTTTTAAGTTGTACATGTAACAAAGTCCGGTGTTGTTTTACAAAACCAGGACTCTGACTGGGATCCAAGTCTTGATTTTCAGGACTGAGGCTCATTTATAACTAACACTGACTTAATTTTAGTCATGTCATGAAGTCAAGCAATTATTCCTGGGATAACCTGGGACTTCCAACCTGGGATCCGTTTGTGAGGCGAATTTCATGGTGGATTACAGACAGCAGGAATCGGAGAACTCACAAGAACCTGCAGATTCACGTGCATTCACGCGATAATAAGTTCTTTCTATAAAGACAGACACATAAACATATAAGCAGTAGATTGTGTCCTTTTAGAGGAGGAAATCTACTTCTAGACTTCTAGAATCAGCACCTCCTCATCCATGGTGTCATCGGGGTGAAACGACGTCTAAAAACCTTTCACTTGTTCGTCTCTGCCCGTTTGCATGGTGTGAAATACGATGTGCCTGAAACATGGATTGTTATATTTTGTGTCTGTGCTCGACTTCCTTTCCAGCACGTGTTAATCTGTGCTGAATTTATCCAGCATGCTCCGGCATCCAGAAAAAATAGAACTCTTGCGATCAGTGGCGGAATCCGGCGACCCGCAGAGGAACGGAAAGAAGCCGGTGGAAATTGACACGTAAACTTGAATGGTTATGATCAGCTAGGATCGGCGGATACAGCCTTTTAGTAGCCGTTCTGAATGCGGTTGAAATCTGGGATGACAGAGATGCATCAAACTCTGCTTTAAAGATTAAACTCCACATGTAGTGAGAAGCACAACCGTCGAGGAAAACTTAAACTTTATTGAAAACAAAGTAGATGAGATGCCAAAGTTACTTGGACTGTTGATTGGCTGGCTGCTAATCAACACAGTAACTCTTATCACTTTAACTACTTGGATTTTTAGAGATAGTTTGAGTAACTTCACTTTTGAGAAGCTACAGGAACATTTTTGGGAGTGTACAACAAGGGCGTGTTTATGATTCGGCTCAGACACTTCAGACTCCAAGGTTTTTGGTCCGTGCAAGAATTTGATTCCCATCCTCTCGTGTGTAAACGAATATTTTTAAAATGACGCCCAGACATTAAAAAGTTGCTTTTACCTCGCCT